TATATTTTGAGACAATATAATTTGGTTGTCTCAAATCAGGTTTTGAGGCAAGATAATAAGGTTGCCTCAAATTAGGTTTTGAGACAAGATAATGTGGTTGCTTCTAAATGTACTATTAGTAACACACGTTTGATTGCCTCTAAAGGTGTTTTTAGAGGCAACCATCCTTTAGCGACGGATTATTTAGAGGCACCCTTGAGGCAACCAAAATATTGCATCAAAAGATGATTAGAGGCTACTTTCCTATTTTTAGAGGCATTTGTGCATTGCCTCTATAAATCTATTTTGTTGTAGTGCAAGTGTATATAATGACTTAGTATGAAGCTAAGGTTATGTTATGGGCAGTCTTTAAGGATGACCCAAGGTAGTTTATTGATATGTCAATTCTAGGCATAATTTTGCTTAGGAATTGGACCTTCGTGCAAGGTGAGGAAATTGACCCAAGAGACATGAATTGTATGGTGATGTGATAGAGCGGAGCTCTAGAATACAATGTCATGTATTGGGTTGGAGCTCTAAGGATTGCATGGTGATGTGATAGAGCTGTGCTCTAGAATGCAAGGTAAGGAAATTGACCCGAGTGACATGAATTGTATGGTGATGTGATAGAGCGGAGCTCTAGAATACAATGTCATGTTTAGGGTTGGACTCTATGAGTTGTCGTGGCTTATAGTCACGGGGAATGGGAATGGTGATTTCTAAATGAACTTGGGCCCACAGGCCGACTACTTGACTTTTATATAAAGTAAGTATATTTTCAAACGGGGTAACTTAGGGTTACAACCATATTGTACTATCACCCTATTTGAGAGTCTTGTGTTTGAAATACTTGTTGTATATCTATTAGATGCCTGCCACACCAGTACTTTATAGCCGTATAGAGTACTGACCCCTTCGGGGGCATCCCACCACCATTTCAGGTTGAGGCTAGAGCTTGCTTCCTGTGCTCGTTGCTCGAGTGATTTCCCCGGAGAGAAGTCTTGGTTCGTGCTTCCTCCATTCTGTTTTAGAACATTAATAAACATGCTCATGGATATTTTACTTTAGAGCCTGCGTGCTCATGTTTGCCCTGTGTGGTATTTGATTTCAAACTATGTTTTCCGCTGCGTATTGAATTATTTATTACGTATGTTTATGGATGACTTATGTGTGAATGATATTCATGACGCCTTGTATAATATGAATGTGTTGGACTGCGGTTGACTATTCGTATTGTACGGCGGATTGTTGACGTGTCCGGGGAGGTCCGGGGCGTGACAGTATATATATATTAATGCATATTTACTTACTTATTTTTATATTACATTCATTGTTTTAGTTTTGTTATTTAACTATTTAAAACTATTATTCACTTCAACCGGTTCTTTAGGCTTCTTAGGCCTCTCATTAGGTCCAAACTCTAGCGGGTCGGAACTCGGAAGGTCCAAACTATTTAAAATTATTATTCTCTTTAACTGGTTCAACATATTTATATTGTAATTTCCAACATTGAATGTCTTTTTGCCAAAAAATTAGTTGTAATTTGTAAGAATTTTTTCAAATACTAGGAACCGTTAAATGACAAGAACCGAACCGTTAAGAACGGTTCGGTTCCTTATCGGTTCTATAAAATAATTTATAAGAACCGAACCGTTAGTAAAATTTCATATTTTCAAACGGTTCCACATATTTTGTCTAGGAACCGAACCGGTCCCAGGCCTAGATGAATCCACCCTGATTTCATGAATTTTAAAATTTAAGGGTAAAGCTCAATCAAGCAGCATCATCCACTTACTTGAAAAGTTGAAAGTATGACATCTTCCATTTTAACTGACTTTGCGGCCAGCATGTTGTGCAAATAACTCAAGATCTTTCGCCAATTGTTCTGCTTCCAGGGAAAAGCATGTCAATTTGTTGGCGACCAACTTAAACTCTCAATATGTTTATTATGAGCTACATTGCTAAGAACAGTAATAGATCATACACCAAAAAAGAAAATTCATATTGAGTTCAAAGGTAAATCTATGAAAAGCAGCAGGAAAATGCAAAACTTTGAACTCCACCAAGTATTTTGCCCCCAAATTCTCCGCAGCTAGGAGATTGATATGCATCAAATTTCTGGTTGATATTTCTAGCAAGAAAACATCAAAAGACAAGATTTTTAACTTAGACACACAAAACTAATTTTCAGCAACAGTTAGACATGCAGAAGTAATTTTCAGTAGCAGTTAGACATGTGAAACTAATTTTCCGAAGCACTTACTTTCACCGTGTGATAAAAAAATGCAGCAAATTGTTAATAAAGATATGTTTGAACAGGAAACCTGCGACAAAAATAATAGCTCATTTTCCTATGCATTTTTTAAAACCCCATTGAGAATTGAAGCCGGGACCTCCCATAAGGGAGAGTGGGTCGGCTACCAGCTGGGCTGGACCGCTTCCTCTTAAAGATAACTTGATTTTGATTTAAATTCTCGTCAAACCAATTCAAGACTTTATTTTGATTTGTATGATTTCTTCCTAACTCTTTATAGTGTTTTGTTAAGGGGTGTTTGGAACCGATTCTGATTCTGCTTCTGTTTTAAAGCAAAAGCGGAATCAGAATCAGTTTTCCGAAGTTGGTCTCCCCCAACATCAAAAAAAACTAAATCTATGAGTATATTAGAGCACCAAAATCACTTCTGCACTATCACCCAAACACTCCGACTTCTGCTTCTACTCTCTGAAGAAGCAGAAGCAGTTTTAAGAATAAGATCCAAACACCCCCTTAGTTCTGAAAACAACTACAGAGTGTTTAAGTTCACTAACATACAGAACAAACTTAAAGTTTCTTCTAATTGAAATATGAAATTTCCTCTTTGCCTATTTTACTTGCTCGTTATGAAACTTCCTCTTGCTATAAAATGTTTTGCGTGAGGCATGAGATTACCTAAATTAATCAATAATATGTTTTATGAGTTAATTAATTAATTATATCCAAGTATGTATTATGCCATATTAAAGAATATAACATAGTTGAAAATCATGTCATGTAGGTTGATTATTGATAATATGTAATTTAATATTTGTGATGCTCTAAGGACCCAAAAAAGTATTTTTGGATTGAGGACGTCAAGAAGTACGTGTATACAAAATATCACGACAATACCCTAGTCAAAGGCAATACCCGACCAGGTATGAACTAAAAACAGCCTCAGCGGCTACTGCCTCACCATACCCGACCGGGTATTGATAAGTCCGTATTTAGACACGCATTTAATGCGTGTTCGGGTCGGATTTTGACGGTTTTCCTAGCTTTAAGGCGTTGCAAGTCTCAATTTTAGCTCAAGTTGTGTTTAGCAGGCGTTGGATCGAGTTTCATTGCGTTTGGAGTTGATTTGAAGAAGTTAGAGTCCGGCAATCGGCGCTTGAGAGGCATTCGGGAAGGATTTGGAGGCATTCGAGAAAGATTTGGAAGATTTGGAGGTCACCGGGAGATTCACGACGAAATTCTGATGAAGAAAGAGCATTTGGATCGACCTCGTAGGCATCCGGTAGCGTTTGGAGCAAGAAAACGAAGGAAAAGTGAAGAATAAGGTCAAGCACGGTCGTGCCTGGAGTTAGGCACGCCGTGCCTGAAGAGAAATATTCCTGGGAGCTACTGGAGGCCAGACACGGCCGTGCCTGGCAGCTAGGCACGCCGTGCCTGGCATATTTTGAGGAATCGAGCTACTGGAGGCCAGGCACGGTCGTGCCTGGCAGGTAGGCACGCCGTGCCTGGACGCAAAAAAGCGGATTCCTTCCGTAGGCACGGTCGCAGGCACGGTCGTGCCTGGCACCGTGCCTGGCACCGTGCCTGGCCGCGATTGATCCTAATTCGACCCAAATTCGTTGTTTTCTATAAATAAGGCCTTCATAACCCCGTTTTGGGGTGACGAACATTACGGAGAGGCCTAGGGACGAATTTAACACCGTTTTTACGCTATTTTTTCCAAGACCCTGAGATTATTTGTAAGTTCATCTTTTTAATTAATGACAATTATTTCTATTCATCCCAATTCTGTTGATTCTTCAATTATGAATTGTGAGTAGTTTAATTAGGGATTTGGGATTGATGAAGGGGTTAATCATGATTGATGGCTAGATTCTTGTCGGTTTAATTGCATGAATGCCGTTTAATTTGTGTTTGAATAATTTAACTGATATCTTTTGTAACCTGGAACCGCGGCTAGAATTACAATTGCTGGTAGAATAAATTATGAGAGATCTAGTTTATTTTAGGACACATTCACACACACTTAATCGTTCGCTAAGAGATTAGTAGCGATTAAGGGGCCGTAAGCTCGCTCGTCTTGGCAATAATTTAGGATCTTGTCGCATGAGAGATCAGCCTGGTCCCCTAAATTATTGTACTCTACGCCGCCAGAGCGGTAAGAACTTAGTAATGATTAGCTAGGCTGAATTAAATTAAATTCATGTGATTAGACCTGTTCTGCCAGAAATCTGGTTAACCCCGGAATCAATTCCTGTTCCCTTAGTCGTTAATTAAGGAAAACCAAATCTTTTTATTCGCTCATTAGCATTAGTTTTAGTTTAATCAATCAATCAATCTCGCACAATTGCATTTTTATTTTATTTATTTCTTTTTAATCGCTAAGTTTAGTTAATCTTTAATTTCCTTTTGTCCGTCCCTGTGGAGACGATACTCGTACTTTCAACCACTTTACTATATCCTTTTTAAGTGCGAGAAAACACACATCAGGTATGAATGGGTACCCGACTGGGTATTGGGTTTTACACCCAATGGGCAGTTTTGAATGAGTTTCACGTTGGTTACTAAGGATTATTATATGACTATAGGGCTATGTATTGTCCATGGTTGAAGGAATAAAAGGTTAGTCATATCCGGGTTAGAATTTGGAAGGAATAAGGTTGGGGTAGGGTACCGTTGAACGTATGACTATATGAATAAAAACACCTTTGCTAAACACCTTTGCTTATTTCAGTAATCATGTGATTAAAAGCCCAAGATTCCACCCCAGGTAAAACGCCATGTACCCGAAAGTAACAATTTTTATTTTCTTTCGTTTTAAAGGTCAGTTTCAAAATTCATGTTGTCGGGAAATCCATCTTCCTTCTTGGAACCGGAAAGGGGAGATGCCGACGGACCGGCCGCGGCATTTGGCTCCAACGACGAAGACCCTTCGAAGCTCCTCACTGTTCCAACAGCAACCGGGTATAAACTTTACTCCTCTTCTCTCTCGGTCTTACATTTTCCTCATCTTAGCACAGTTTAAAAGTCTGCTCTCTATTTTGAGCGGTATGCCAGGGGGGTTAGACACAAGTGTCCGGCATGCTTTAAACAATACAAGAAAAAGGAGCATCTGGTTGAGCACATCAATACTTCTTACCATTCTGTTCATGATCCCAAGTGTGGGGTATGCCAAAAGCACTGCAAATCATTCGAATCCCTGAGGGAACACATCATTGGTGATATCATTGCCGTTGAATATAGATACCCTTTGGGTAAATTTTTAATCTTCATGGGGTTTCTTACTTTCTTCTTGAACTTTTGTGTCTGAAACATTTTAGGCCCCTTGTCCAAAGCTAGCTGTTCAACAATATTTGCAGAAAGAGGTTGTTCTTTGTGTTTGAAAGTATTTGACTGTTCTGATTCCTTAAGTCAGCATAGAGATATATGTTGCCTTCCAGCTCCTGCGCCTCTGGTAAGGAGACAGATAATTTGGGTTTCATTCATTTGCAGTGTAGGGAAGTTTGACATTTTTCCGATTCTCTCATTCGTGTAAGCTCTAGATATTATCACTCACACTCACTTAGGGTGTATTTGAAACTCGGAAAATGATGAGGAAAGAAAATAGAAGAAAAATATGCAAGAAAACAAAATTGACTGAAACAACTGCTGGTTCATACTCAAAAAATCAATTTACACGAAGGAGTGGGATGCAAAGTCAAATGGTTTTATAGTGAAATAGGGTGCATACATTAATGATTTTGCAAATAGGGTGCAAAGTCAAATATTACTCAAAAAGTGTGGTGCAAAGTCAAATTCTCTCTTAAAAAGGCAACTTTCCTTAGAATTTTCCACATTTTCTACCATTTCCGGGTTTGTAAACATAGCCTTAGATAGACACAATGTGAGGAAGTAGCTTTGTATATGGGGAAGGTTGATTCCAAAGTAAATTGATCATACATGGTATTCAGTTTAAATTATTTGTTGTGGCTTGTTGGCTTGTTGAAGGGAACAGTGGGGGTTCCTTTTACAGAAATTGAATTTGACAATTCATCTCTAAGTGATGTGGATGGATATGGGAGTGGAAGAGAAGCAGTTGCCATGGATTGCGCAATTGTAGGTGGGGGAAGTGACGGATCGCTCGATCTTTGTGCTAGGGTTTGCCTTGTCAATGAAGATGAGAAGATAATTTTCCACAGCTATGTTGTACCTGAGATTTCTATAACTGACTATAGGTATAAAATCACAAGTGAAGATGAAAAGTTATATTTTCCAATTCATTTTTATTGTTTTACTGAAGAAGAAACATAAGCAGATTTTTTTCTGTTTAGGAATGAAATCACGGGAATTAAAGAAGAACATATCAGAGATGCATTGCCACTTGTGGAAGTGAGGGAGAAGATTCTGGAGATTCTTCATAATGGAGAATCCATTTGGAAAGTGAGAATGGGTGGTGGAAGAGCTAAGGTTCTTGTGGGGCATAACCTTACTCGTTTCTTACAATGCCTGGGAATGTACTATCCTGACGATTTACTTAGGTAAGAAACTGTTCATTTATCAAACTTTGCTGTAAAAATACCTACACACTAGCATGTACCTCTGTTTTTGAGTACTACTAACCATTTATTTGCTCAGATAAAAAAACCTTATGTTGATTAAAGATTTTTTAAGATATAAGATATATACAGATTACAGATATACTACCTCCCTTAAAAAGACTGTTATGTTTGACCAATGTACAACGTTTAAATTTCAGTGAAGTGGATTTGTCATAAATATTTTAAATTAATGACAATTTATTTGTTGGTTTAACTAAATTTATCATATGGAGTATGCAATGTTTTGAGCATTTCTTTTAGCAATTCGAGTTATTCTTATAGTATTACTGAAATAGAAAAAAGAATTCACAGACAAAAATATGAATATGTAGTCAATCTAGTTGGACGACGGGGAATTATCATTACGGTCGTCACTGCACATCGAAATTCACGTTTTGGTCCTTTTAGGGAAAATCCGCGATATAGGAGAAAAATAATGTAAAAATCCAAAATAGGAGTACTATGTTTCCCCCCTAAATGGGAGTACGTTACTGCAGCCTTGAGAATTCACTGCCATATTTTTGCATTATGAGGCTTCAAATATGGCCATATACTACCATAATTGGCAGTAAATACCCTATATAAGGAATAAAAACATAGTGGCCTTATTTTGGAATTTCAAAACGTTTTTCCTCCTATTTAAAGCAAATTCTCTATTTTAGAGAAAAGGGTCAAATAAGGCCTTCTACTATTATGAAATAGTCACATAAAGCCATATACTCGATAAAGTGTCATATAGGTACCTCTACTTGTAAAAAGCAATCAAATGGGTCCCAATGACCTATTTAACACCTCTTAATCCCGGTTTTAGCGTACTTCTGACCATCTTTTTAGAATAGAATATACGGCCTACGTCGAATATTTAACTAAGATGGGTGGAAATACAAGTCAAAAAATTCGACATGTAAGTTAAAACCGGGATTATGAGGTTGTAAATAGATCGTTATGACGCATTTGATTGTTTTTTACAAGTAGAGGTACTTATATGACACTTTATTGAGCACATGGCCTTATGTGACTATTTCATAATAGCAGAAGGCCTTATTTGACCTTAGTAGAAGGCCTTATTTAAAGCAAAAACATAGTAGTCATATATTTGTCATTTTTTTACTATCAAATTTCATGTTAAATTAGTTTCATTTGATGAAACTGAGCTCTTATTTGCACAAAAAGTTCGGAAAACACTTTTTTTTTGCGGGACGTAGTCACGTAGAGAGTATCTGTCTCCCTAAACATGAATTATGTTTTATGATTCATTGATGAGTTCAAATATCTGTGTGGGTTAACGCCGCTTGTTTATTATCTATTTCTGGTTTTGCAGAGATACTGCCAAGTACCAACCTTTGGCAAAGACAAATTTTTTCAGCCACACTTTCAAGTATCTTACCAAGACATATCTGGGGCAAGTCAATTACCTCGTTTGTTACTACTCAGTACCTGCTTAACCTAAAATGTTCGGGAACCTTTAATTTAGGGACCTGTTTGGTATAAGTTATTTGTCTAAAATGAATGAATATCCTGAATTTTGTGAAGTGTCTGGTAAAAATATATTTTGCTTACTGTAGTGGTAAGCAGAATAAGACAAGTGCGGCTACCAATGGAATTAAGGGCTCATTTGGTAATACCAACCAAATGAGCCTTTAATCTATTTTATTTTCTTATTTGTCTGAATCGGTTGAATTTGCTCAAGTGGAAAGCATTCTGTAAAATTGATTCTAACCAAGTCAAATGCTATTTTCTGCTTACCCTGGTAATTCTCTACAGAGTAAGCAGATTAGATTAAAATCTACCGAACCGTGGCTAAGTAAACTGTTGTTCAGCACAAAATGTCAATTTTCTTAAAATACAGTTTCCCCGAATGAGAGTTTTGTCCAAATTAACAGGTATACCATTCATGAAGGGGTACACGACACATATCAAGACAGCGTCACAGCGATGAGGCTGTATAAGAGAATGAGGTTCCAAGACCACCATCCGGATCAGAATGTAAACTTGGTGGCCCCGCAAGACTCCATGGTCTTCAGTTTATTCAACTCAAAGCAACTAGAGAGCATGACACCTAGCGAGCTTCTGGAGATCTCTAAGGCGAATTACCAGTGTTGGTGCTTGGATTCAAGAAGAAAATGATCTCTACGAACCGTTTCTTAGTGTGTGAATCTTGCACTGGAGTATGCTTCTAGTTGATCAATCCTCATGATTGTGTTTATCTTCTTAAATACGTAATTAGTAAACCCTGCAATGTGTGAACTGGTAGCCAGTTCTGTTTCAAGTGACTAGCTCCAACTCACAGGCGCTAATGCATTTCGTGATAGCACTAGACCTGGATATTGGATCGAACCAGTAAATAACCAGACCGCCCGCCCGTTTCTATGACTCTGGACAGGAACCGGTATCTAGAAACGGTCAAAATGAGTTCTGGATCCCCAAAATAGGCCTGTACTGGTTTTCAGCCCCGGTTCTTTTTTAAATAGGCAAAAACTGGAATGAAATAGGGACTGACCGAGAATCGGAACTTGAGTGGACCACTGGACCAGACTTTTTTCACTGGTCCTGGTTATGGATTAAGCCACCTTAGGATCTGGAATCAGTTGATCTAGAATCAAAACTGAATCTGGTCCACACCTAGTTAACCAAAATATTTTGTGGGTAGAATAGCCATTTGCCTCTACTTCAGCCTAGTTTGTTGAAAGTAGTTTAAGATTTGAAGTTGCTGAATCAATTGCGTGCTTGCAGCAACTTCACCCACTTTATATTTTCCGATGTATCAATAAAAGATTGAAAACATCACTCACTTTCCACATTTGCTTATAACTCGAATGTGTGCATGTTGGAATTTGCTGGGTAAGTAATAGAGTTTTGCTAGAGGTACTGTGTACACAAAATGTGAATTGTCTGTGACAGACAAAATTTCTGTGAAGGACAGACATGTGTACACATTTTGTGTACCTCAAGCATTTTTCTAAGTAATAAGTTCGGCCGAGGATATTTTGAGTATTTTTTATAACATCGAAATTGGTTCAATTGACTAAATTTGTTGAGATTTATGAACGTCTAGTTGAATTTACTTAATCTGTTGAGTATTAAAAATAGTTATAATTAGGGCTGGACTGAACCGGGCCGGTTCGGGCCTCGGGCCTGGGCCCGGCCGGGCCTCGGTTCAGAATATTGAGGCCCGAGCCCGAACCGGGGGGTGGCCGGTTCCGGGCCAGACCGGGCCGGTTCCGGGCCGGGCCACCCGCCCTATTTTTTTTTTTTTTGGCTTCTTTATTTAATCCCCTACCCCTCTTTCTCAACCCCAAACCACCCCAAACCACCTCAAATGGACCAAAATACCTAATCTAACCCAAAACATAAAAAATTTTCAAAAAAAAAAAAATTTATTTCCGGCCCGGACCTGGCCCGAACCGGCCGGGCCGGTTCACCATATGGAAGGCCCGGGCCTGGAACCGGGAACCACCGGGCCGGTTCGACCCGAACCGCCGGTGGACCGGGCCACCGGGCCGGGCCGGGCCGGTTCCGGGCCGGGCCGCCCGGGCCGAGTCCAGGCCTAGTTATAATAGTTAAAATAGTTAATCAATCAGACGTTAAAAAAGTTATTGTACACCAATCAAACGTAAATTGTTCGGAATAATAGTCTATACAAATTACTTAATCAAAAGTTATTTTCTAATTTTTTTCAAATTACATGTAAATTGATTACACATATAACTACATCATTCATTTGGATGTATATAGACAATTAAATTTTTTGTCCATCCAGACAATTGAAGTTGATCACACAGACAACTATGGTCTGTCAGCCGCACAACTATTGTCTGTGTGGTAATATTGTTTGTGCACAGAGACAAATAATAGTGTGTGCAACATGAAAATTTTGTATGTGCACACAGACACTGCACATATGTCAATTGATTTGCAAGTGGGTGTTAGTGTCAGGCGGCTGTCATTGTACTTTTTACACAAAAGTAAATGTCTGTGGACACAGACAAAAGTTGTCTGTGTACACAACAACTCTTGTCTGTGCTTACAGGCAACTCCGTACCAAATGTCCGTGATCGACATTTTGTGTACAAGTTGTGTACAACTTGTGTACTCTAGCCTTGTATTGCAATGGTGTCAAATGGACTTCACCCATATTACTTCTACAAAATAAGGAGGTTATATACACACGTTCCAAATCTTCGATGAGTGGAGTTCCAACTGTTGCAGGTCTTGAATATATAAATTAAAGCTGCTAAATTAATTAATTAGCTCAAAAAACTCGATCAAAATGGAAGGAAGGCCATGAGGCAGGAGGGCTAGCATTTCTTCTTTATTCTTGATCAACCCAAATTTGAACATACTATATGTCAGATCATATTAGGTTGGAAATTGGGAAAGTTCCCGAAATAGGACTAAAATGGGAAATCCCAAAATAGGAATGCTATTTTTTTCTACTCGAAATAGGAATAACATGAATTTTACACAATAATTAAATATGCTAATCGATATATAATATAGTGGGTGTTGGGATATTAGACCACGCCCGTCCATGACTAATCACCCCATGATGCCTAATCTACATGACTACATGCAAGGCCATTCGCTGTATAGCCAATTCAGGATAGGCATCCAACAGACCCGCGCGACTATTGCCGTGCAGCCCATTCTCTACATTTGGGCTTCTCTACCCAATCCAACAGCCTGTCAAGACAGAACCTCCCCAAGCAGTTGGTGGGAAACTTGAGAATTGACGGGAAGCGCATTTAATGCATCACACTCTGTATATGGAAGATTTTACGTTTGGGGTTCATCCACCCAAGGTTGGACACATCACTCCCTCCACCTACCACCTTATAGTATAAATATCAACATTTATTTTATTGAAAAATGTTGGCAACTTAGCATTCGTAAGCATTAGACATCTTTGTATTTTCTTATGTGGCATTCCAGCTTGAGCTAGGGGGTCATGCCCGCTCGGCATAAGTGTTGTAATACTCCGTATTTCTAAAGACTTCAATAGAATTAGATTCACTTTGCCTCTACTTGTTTGCTTGTTCTTATTATTCTCTTGCCTTAAACACTTACCAAAACAACTCATCTACGAATTAATTCCTACGAAAGCCAAAAGACTTGTGGAGCCTTTGGACCTTGAGAAATAGACCTCAACAATGTGTTATTGATGATAATTATGATGTTATAAATGTACTAGTTTTAATATTTTATGTTGTTTCCCAAAACAACAAATGAGAACCTTTAAGGGTTGGTTTGCAACTGCTTTTAAAAAAGCACTTCTCACCTTTTGGCTTTAAAAAAGCACTTATTTTCTCAAACACTACAACTTTTATTTTTCTCGGCTTCCGCGTCAAAAGTGCTTTTACTTTTTCTATTACACAAAAAGCACTTATTTGACCAAACACTACCCACTTTTACTTTTCAAAATCACTTTTTTCTCAAACACTATCAACTTTTATTTAATCACTTTTCCCCATTTCATTAAAAAAAGCACTTTTTTAAAAGCAGAAGCTGTTGCAAACAGACCCTAAGTGAGACGTCCAAAAAATGAAAGTGATAATCTTTGATTGAGACGGTGAGAGTATTAAACATGACAGTATTTACTATTATTAATTTCAAAAAATTTCAATTATGACAATAACGTCTCATATTTTGAAATTACGAAACCTATTTAGTCCTATTTAGAGGCAATGACCCGTTGGAAAAATTCAGTTAAGTCGAAAACATTTTTAGAAATATTTAATTCTAAAAATCTGACCATTTCCCAATCTATAAGTGACACATTTTTCACTTTCTTATAAACAATCCAACCTTAAATACTCAACTTTCTTAAAATCAAATAGGAACTTTATTTGGAAGGGAGTAAATTAAATTAAAGGGAAATTATAAACGGTTTCCCCCAATCTCAGTGTTCACTTATTTTTTTCTTCTAAAAATGAACTTTCCTTTTTCTAAATTCACTTGACCGAGATGCTAAAAAGTAAAAACACGCGACAAGAATAGAGTAAAGAGAAAAACATTCTTCCTCGTTTTAAGAAAAAAAGCCGGAAATGTTGAAAGAGATCAAGGAGTTAGCTCAATTAGTGCATCTAATTCAACTGTAGTCATTTGCAAAAAAAAAAAAAAAAATTCAACTGTAGTCAGGGGGAGACATGGGAGGTTGGAGGGTGCTATGGTCTAATTGTCTCCAAGAAAAAAAATTGTGATACATATACATATGTATAAATATTTAATTATTTATACGCGGTAAAAATATGGGGTGGTTCTATTTGCATCCACAAAATGACTATTCACAGCCATTTCATTAAACCAAAGAAAAAATATATATTTTAATATCTATTTTGCCCCTAATGAATAGAGCCCCATCCAAATTACGTAGTTCCATATAGCCACACTTCGTTCTTCAACCCTTCCGTCTAATTCTTCACTCCTCCCCTTCCTTGCCAGACTTAGACGGACTTTGTTCATCATCATCCCGGTCGCCGCCGGGCTTATACCGATCTTGCTCTTCTTTCTCTCCCATCCCCGCCAGACTTAGTCCAGCCTTGTCTTCCTCCCCGCCCTGTCGGATACTCGGATATTTGCAGATTTCTCAAACCAGGGCAAACCAAAAAACGATTTTGCCATACTGTTGTTTTCCGATAACAGATACTTACTCCATTGATATGCATGAATTTTTAGATTAACGGCTCATAATTACATTGATGGCTTTATGTTCTCATTAGATGAGTGGCACCTGAGATAAATTAAACCTCGCTATTGCATCCAATTTTTAATTTATGTGCTCGTTATATTCATAGCCAGGGGCGGAGCTAAGGGGTCAGGGTGGTCAGCCGACCCCGCTTAAAGTTCAAGAATGTAGAGCTCTGAAATACCTTCGATTTGATATACTATGGGTCACGTAACTCATTACGAGTAAAAAGTTATGACTTCTGAAAAAATCAGCATCATTTTAACTTGAAATAAGCAAAATTTGATATGTGACGTTAATTATATTCTTAAATTTAAAAATAAAACACCTTATTATGTCATTAGTTGTGTGAACATTATGATACATTACATATATATATCAATACATTTACCGAAAAATGCTCATTAAACTACCATTTATTTAAGCTACATATAAAACATTTTACTCAAGTATTGTATATAAATAAATTCCGACTCCCCTCACACATTTTTCTGACTCCGCCCCTATTCATAGCTATCTTTGATCTTTCATTAATAGTAGATCACTGAAGGAAACCCTTTCAATTAATTCTTGGATTTCTGTATTCATATACACGAAGAAAATAGAAAGTCTAAGTATATATGTGCAAGTTTGCTAATGATGTAGCGGAATGTCGATCTCTTATTTTGTATTGATGGGGCTGAATTTAGAGATGCAAGCTAAAGGGTTATGTTGAACTTTTCAAAATGAATTATTTATAGAATTTATTTTGGGGGCTGTAATTAGTAATTTTGTGATTGCAAATAGAATCACCCTAAATATATAATGCAATTTTAAACTTTGGTCTCCACAAGATAAAAATTTTAAACCTCGACCTAACTCTACAACTGGTTGTATTTTGCAAACGGTAGAGTTGAAATAAGTGTTTGAAACCCGCTAGGCACATAAGGGTTTGAAACTCAATGGAGTGAGTTTCAGCCCTGATTACTCTAAGCCCCCAGCCCCCCAGACACCCCTGGAGTAAAAAAAAGTTGAAATAAGTGTATACTTTGAGATAGGGATGGACTCGGGCCGGGCCAACCGGCCCGGAACCGGACCGGCCCGCTACTGTGCGGGCCCGGACCGGTCCGGTCAACCGGTTCGGTTCCGGTTCGGGCCTCCAGGCCCGGTGGTATACCGGTCCGGGCCCGGGCCTCCAGTTTAGTGAACCGGCCCGGCCGGGCCGGGCCCGGTTCGGGCCGGAATTTAATTTTTTTTTTTTTTTTTTTGAAATTTTTTTAAGTTTTGGGTTGGATTAGGTATTTTGGGCCATTTGAGGTGGTTTGGGGTGGTTTGGGGTGGAGGGGGAGGGGTAGGGGGTTAAATAAGAGAAGAAGAAGAAAAAAAAAAAAAAAACATTCCGGGTGGCCCGGCCCGGCCCGGTTCTGGCCCGGAACCGGAACCGGAACCGCCCACCACCGGTTCGGGCTCGGGCCTCCTTTTTCTGAACCGAGGCCCGGCCGGGCCCAGGCCCGAACCGGGCCCGAACCGGAACCGGTCCACCCCTACTTTGAGATCCATTTTTCCTCCTTCTCTGATTCCAGATCCACTGCACGCTGAGTCCTTCGTCGTTGGCATCATCCCTCGACCTTCATCATCCGCTCATCACTACGAGCTTCACCATCACCGTCATTGCGAAGAGTAGAGTTCCTCCATTGATGCAGTCTGACGAAGAATAGGCTCCCTCTTGTTGCAATCTAATTCATTCGAGTCTCACTTGAGCTTCTCAGGCCCGTCACAATTCCTCAATCTCGATGACAACGTTGATGCTCTGTTTAGACTAGATTCTCGCGAGATTGACCTACTAGATTGGTCTCACCCTTGCGACATCGCTCTCTCACACCAAATGAGTATAATGTTTAAATAAAATGAATGTAGACCAATGAGGATTTGAGCAAATTAGCGATTTCAAATGATGTTTTGATTTTTTCGATATACATTTGATAAGTTATGTATGCTCATATCAATGTCATATTTAAAATATATCATACTACCTCCGTCGCAAAAATACTTAGCCAAATTCAAAACTTTGACCAATTATATATATTTATTTAAAATAATTTATAATATAAAAATGATATGAAAATGTCCTTTGATAAAAGTACTTTCATAAAAGTATAAAATTTATAATTTTAAAATATTAAACTTATCAAAACCATGGTCCAAATTTTAGGATTTGGCTAATTATTTCGAGACGGATGTAGTATAAAATTAGATTCACATATTAGAATTCATAAGAGTTAATTATAGATATAATTTTTGCAATTTTACAGAAGAAAAAAGCAAGAAAAACGAATAAAAAGAAAGTGAATTCAAAGACATGGGAACTGAGATCAGGACACTCAATTGTAAATTTCTAATACTCAGTAGGTACAACTAAATGTACAATAAAAATGTATCGATACTCAACTAGCAGAACTTACGATTTTCATATCAATGCATATAATAGAAGCATAATACTAAATTAGATTTTCATATTGAAATTCATAAGAGTTGATTATAAATATAATTTAAGAAATCCTTAAAAAAAATAGGAAAAAAACAAGAAAAAAAAAGTAAATTAGAAAATATAAAGGAGAGATCACGATGTTAATTATTAAACTAGCTACCCCTAATACTCAACCAAATAGGTCCGATGCTCACCACAAATGCATTAATGCTCATTTCATGGAAGCCATGATTTGCACCTAAATTACAAAAATGGCATCGCCTGTACAAATCTCACTTATTTTCAAACATATGAATGATAATTACTATTATATATTGAACATGAGAGAATTTCCTAAATAGGAGAAAAAACGTTTTGAAATTCTGAAATATGAGTGTCATGTTTTTTATTCCATGAATATGAGTAAATTTCTGCCAAGTTTGGCATTACAAGGCTTTAATTATGACATTTTTTTCCAAACTTGGCAGATTACTCTTCTTCAGGGAATAAAAAACATGATACTCCTATTTTGAAATTTCAAAATGTTTTTACTTCTATTTATGACAATTTTTCATTGAACATACATTACTATGATTCAATTACTGTTGTAGTTACAAATCACATTTTTATTGGCAATCTTTATTTCAAGGGAAATTACCCTAAATTGGATTAAAAGCGTTTATATATTACAAAATAGAACTAGCATATTTTTATTCCCAAAATAGTCACAATTATTACCATATTTTGATCCATCGTCTTCCTCATATTACCGACCGGCGAACGTGAGTGAATCGTTGAAAAACAAAAAATCAAAAAGCAAACGATTGGGTGTTTATAAAATGTAAAAGTGATAGTCAAATGCTGGTTGTGAACAAAAAGTAAATGACTTGCGGTAAAACATAAAGCAGATCGTCTAACAAGAAACAGTGAAAACATAGCAGAGAAAAAACCAGTCTTGCTCTTAACTGATTTTTCTGTTGATATCAGATACGGAGTATTTCTTACTATACACGATCATCTTTTCACTGTGAAACTGAAGACCATGCAATTTTTTAGCATTGCTTTTACTGCAACCGATTTTTCCCGGACTTCGCCATTTTAACTCCCTGTGTTTGGCGGGGAAAGAACAAGAATTTTCAGGCATAAAAGATTTGCCATTTACCGGCGGCCATTATAACCCAACTCAGGGAGCATTCGATTTCAGCCATGGCGGCGGTGGCTGTAATGGCCAGCCCGTGGGACACGGTGTTGGAGCTCACTAAATTGGCTCAGGACAGGGAGGTCGACCCCTTGGTGTACACCCTGCAGATATCCTCCACCCTCAACGCCGCCGGCGTCCCCATTCCCTCCACCGGCTTCGCCACCATTCTCGTATCCCACATTTGCTGGTCCAATAACGTTCCTATTGCTTGGAAGTATCTCGAGAAATCCATGACTATCCGGGCTGTCCCTCCCCTCTTCGCTCTGGCTCTTCTCTCTACCAGGTCTTCTTCTTCTCCGGCTTCTCTTCTTCTTACCTTCTGTTAGCTCTTTATATTCCTGGCCTTGGTCTGAGTTTAGCTTCTGGTGTCTTTTACTACAGAGTAATCCCTTACAGAAAGATCTACCCAGTGGCCTATAGACTGTACCTGGAACTTATGAAAAGATATATCTTCTCATTGAAGTCTCAGATTAATGGTCCTCATTATCAACAGTACGGTCAACTTCCTCCTTTACTATTGTCTACAAACACAGGAAATTAAAAGAACCCCACACTTACTAATATGTTTTTTCGTGATCATTATGTGTTTAATTCAATGAACATAAGGTACCATTTCGTTCAGGCTGGTTTTAGTTAATCTGAAAATTTTGAATATGGAAGTGCAGGATTATGGAGTCCATCAACGAGACGCTTAATCTTTCTCAGACTTTTGGGCTCCCAGATTGTGAAACTCGGTTGATTATTGTGCAATTCGTTTTTAAAATTGTGTGGGAGTTGGTTGATGCATCACTTGATGATGAGGATTTGCTGGAACTCTCAGAAGAAAAGGAATCTATGTGGCCAGTAAGAACACAAGATATGGAGATAGACAATCCTGTTGCTTTTGATAGGAAAAGGGAAGAACACAATGAGTTATTGTCTACACACAACACTATAACGGCTATTGAAATACTTGGTGATTTTTTTCAGAACAAAGTGACTTCCAAGATACTTTTCTTGGTGCGAAGGAACATGTAGGACTCTACCTTTTCTTATTTCCCACTTAATGCTCTTTATTAATCCAATTAAGATGATCATCTAAAACTGACTTAAAAAAGCTCTCTACGTTTCTTTAGATGTGTTCTATGTGTCTCTTTGCTTTTCTGACTACAATGCACTGTTGCATCTATTTCTTATTGTTTTGTTCATTAGGCCTTCTTACTGGGAGCCCTTTATCCAGCACTTGCGGTTGCTTGCTTCAAACTCAACAGCATTAAGGAATTCAAAAAGTGTTTCTCCAGAGGCTCTTTTGCAGCTAACATCCAATACAGATGTCTTTCTGTCAAGGGATGGTAAAAGAAGCACACTGCACCGAATGAATGTGGTAGTTGGCCATTGGCTTGTATCTTCATCCACCCAAAGTCCATCTGCTTACTGGTTGCCCATTGATCTCTTCCTTGAAGATTCCTTAGAGGGACAAGTGTCAGCTACAAGCACTGCTGAAACACTCACTGGTGAGTGGTAATTACACCCCGGGAAGTTTAAGTTATCTTTCATCAAGTCACTGAATCAGTATTGCAGCTTTAGAGAAGTCAGACTTTACTTTTGTCTTAATGCTAACTGTATTAGTATTTCAGCTCTTGTGAAGGCTCTTCAGGCAGTTAACTGCACCACTTGGCACGACACTTTTCTTGGGCTATGGGTTGCGGCACTGCGGCTGGTTCAGAGGGTAAGTGAAGTTTCATTTCATCATTAGTATATGGCTTAGAAAGGTATAGGTTTTCAGTCCCTGCAACTTTTTTACCTCCCTGTGATTCTTTTTCTTTTTATCTTTAGTCATGTCAGTTATGTTTTCAAGCGAAGATTGATAGTCAGAGAGGGGATAAAAAGAAAATGACGTAACTTCTAAGGACGAAAAACAAGATACGGAGTATTAGTTTTATAGGAACATTATAGAAAACCACTGATTTTTCAGGGATTAAAAATATATTTAAACCTTAGCATATTTATGTAATTGGCATCATATTTATTTTTTCTATTCTCTTACAATTTTAGGAAAGACAATCAACTGATAAAATAGCCCCTCGTCTTGATATGTGCTTATGCATGCTGTTGTCTATTACAACACTTGCAATTGTTAATATTATTGAGGAGGAAGAAAGGGAACTTGTCTGTGCCAATCAAGGAAAGGAATCTTTAGGAAAGCGTCACCAAGGCTTAGTTTCAAGTCTAAAACAATTGGATGATTATGAAGCTTTGTTAACTCCACCACTACACGTAGCTAAGGTGGCAAATCAAGCCGCTGCAAAAGCTATTATGTTGCTTTCAGGTCTGACTGTTTCCAGTGGGTGCTTTGATGGCATGAGCTTGAATGACATGCCTTCAAATCACGGTTAGTATTTCCTTTCATGTCTAAGTTACATTGAAACATGTACACAACCAAATGATGGCTCCAGTATTTTTCTGTGGTTCACTGTAGCTGGAAACTTGCGACACCTAGTTGTTGAGGCTTGTATTGCCAGAAACGTTCTGGATACATCTGCTTATTTCTGGCCTGGCTATGTAAAAGATCTACGCAACCAAATACCTTGTGGCATTTCGGGCCAAATACCTGGCTGGTCTTCATTGTTGAAAGGATCTCCTTTGACGGCTCCAATGATGAGTGTGCTGGTTTCTACAGCTGCCTCAAGGTATGACAATGGTTATTAGTTACAGAGAATAAAACATCGTGCTTTTACGGTCCATGTACTCCCTTGAATCACTCTGTCAAGTTTCCTCATGATCGCTTCATGTGAATAACTAATGATATATGTTGTCAGGCTCTTAAACATGTTTTGCGTGGTTTCTAATGATATATGATAATATTTTCGAACATAATTAGAAGAAGAGATCAAACTAGAAGTACAAAACTGTAAAAACTGGGCGATGGCTTTTAATACCAATTTTTTATGTAGTACACAGTTTGGTGCTGGCATATAGTCCATTGAATCAAAATATGGAGCTCTAATGCTATTATGCCCCCTTCCCCCCGGTTTGCTACTTGCATAGAGTCTTCTTATCACTTTCCCACAATTCTTGAAACTTGTAAAGCGTCTGAACATTTTTTGCTCATGGGTTTGATGAAAGTTTAGCAGAATTGGAGAAAATATATGAGTTTGCAGTAAGTGGTTCGGACGATGAGAAGATTTATGCCGCAACAGTTCTATGTGGAGCATCTCTTACCCGTGGTTGGAATGTACAGGTACTGTGTATTAACGTAATAATCTTTTAAGAATAAATGTCAGCATTCAAAACTGACTTACCCTTAGTTCCTGAGTATATTGTTCTCCTTTACAATAAATTATGTTTTTCTATCTTGTTGAAAGTTAGTTGTCTTGATGTTATTTAATTTTTAATAATTTTATTTTTTACAAATTTATTTACTAAGTGCCTATCACGGTCAAGGGAAATTCCTTATTTGCATTATGACTCTTTTCATGCTTGCAGGAGTACGTTGCTATGCTCATCATAAAACTGCTTTCACCACCAGTTCCAGAAGGCTATACTGGAAGTGAAAGCCATTTGATAGGCTACGCTCCATTTCTGAATATCCTTCTTGTTGGAATATCATTTCTTGATGGTACGCAGATTTTTTCGTTGCATGGATTGGTAGGTTGAACACTTGAACTTTATATGCTAGTTTCTAATTCTGAAGTTAGTCTATATCAACTAATAGTAATTGAACTTTGTTTTCCGGTAATAATGAAGTCATTTTATCTATTTGACAAAGTCACATTTTTGTGTGCTTTGAAGGGATAATATAGTGAGTCTTGATTCTGAAAGGTTATTTATGGTCTAACTCGTAGTGACCTCTTTATTTCACAAACTAGGTTCCACAACTTGCTGGTGCATTGATGCCAATCTGTGAGGTCTTTGGTTCTTGCACACCCACTATTTGTTGGACTCTTACTAGAGAAGAAATATCTTCGCATTCTGTGTTTTCAAATGCATTCACTCTTCTGCTAAGGTTGTGGGAATTTAATGAACCGCCATTTGTACGTGTTTATGGGGAACAATGCCCAGCGAGGTCCCGTGTGACTCCTGCATATTTATTATTGCTGCGCAACCGTCAGTTGGCTGCAACCGAAAGTTTGTCAAACAATCATGTCAAGTGCAAGCAGTTTTCCAGACTTTTTGAACCGTGGTCTAGAGAACCCATAATTATGGACTCATTTCCAAAGTTAACATGTTGGTACAGGCAAAATCTGGCATGTATTTGTTCGACCCTTTCTGGTCTTATTCATGGAACTCCTGTTCATCAACTAGTGGAAGCACTGCTTGATCTCACTTTTAGAAATCTAAGCAGGGGTGGACAGCCTCTTACACCCAGTACTTCTGGAAGCAGTAACTTGTCTGTGTCCGGTGGTGAAGATTTATCTTCCCTTCTGATGTCGCCCGCATGGGATATATTAGAGGCGGTTCCTTTTGTGCTTGATGCTGCCATAACAGCCTGTGGCCATGGAAGGCTTTCACCACGTGAACTAACTACAGGTTAGCAAGTTGAGCATTGAGTGAACATTTTCTCTATATTATTATAGTGCTTTGGGGTGAATAGGTTGTGGGAAATCTATGTTGTTTGCTTGCATACAGAAATGCCTCAATTACAGTTATGGTGTTGCTATGTGACCTAGAGGTCACAGGTTTAAGTCTTGTGAGTCGTCTCTTGTCAAAATTATAAGTGAAGGCTTGCCTCTTATAAACCCTTGTGGTGGACACTTTGCCATACCCCTGCCTTGCGGGTATACCCAATGTGCACCGGGCTGCCTTTAAAAAAGAATGTCTCAATTAGTTTGTATTTGCTAGAGGTACCAAAAGAATTCATTTGTTCATCATGCATCCAGTGTAAAACTGTAAATCGATCAACTGTCATTTTAACCCATTTGATCAAAAAATCAAAATTAAGAATTTTCAAATGTATTGCAACAATTGAATTCTTTATGTTTATTAGTGATTTATCATTTTATTGCTAAATTAGCATATGCTAAAGTATCATTATATGCACCTTTCAGCACATATATGCATATGGAATGGATGAATTGAATATCCATCGGCAAAAACATTGATAATGGATGTATCTTATTTAATTAAATGGATCACAGATGGAATGATTTGTTTTTTATGAAGAATCCACAACTGATCATTAATGGACTGTTATGAATCCATCCTTCTGAATAAAAAGAATCTGATCCATGCATTTGCCTCTCTTAGTATCTTACATGTTTGCTCTATTGCCAAAAATCTTATTGCCACTCTTATTAATGGACTTGCATAACTTTCAGAGGGCAATATTAGGTTGCCCCGCCACCATAGTTCATGTTTGCTCTATTGCCAAAAATCTCTTCATGGATAGGATTGAAGAATCTTAGACAATAATCATAATATATGTTCTCTTTAAAAGGAATCAGCATTAACAGCTTCACCAAAAATCAATTAAACATCTCCATGAATTCCCAAATTTTTACCTTAATTCACAGTTGGAAGCCTTCAGTCTGTAGCTTTAATTTCTCTGTCTATTCTTTTTTTACTTACTGGCATACAATTTAATGTTAAATCTTAAAACCACGAACTTGTTTTTCAACTCAGGGATTAAGGACCTTGCCGATTTCCTTCCTGCTTCTTTGGCGACAGTAGTAACTTACTTGACAGCTGAAGTAACAAGGGGGCTATGGAAACCTGCCTCCATGAATGGAACTGATTGGCCAAGTCCTGCTGCTAATCTTGCCTCTGTTGAACTACATGCTAAGAAAACATTAGCTGCTATTGGTGTTCACGTACCCAATCTTGTTGTAGGTATGTATGAACTCATTTTTATTCTTCTTGTCAAACCACTTGATTTGATGGAGACCCCAGAAAATGCTCATAAAAGGGGAAAAATCAAAGCAAAGTTAGTTCCTCGTGTTTGGTTTTATCTCAGAAATGCAAGGGGTAATGCTAGACATGTGATAATGTTTTTTCAAGTTTTATTACACATGTTTAAGAACATTTTCGTTCATACAATATAAATTATATTAAAAAATTATTACCATGAACAAACATGAAGGGAGCCTTAGGCCAGGGGCACTGGTTCAATTGTATTGTGTGATTGAAAGGTCAGAGGTTCAAGTCATGATAGTGGCCTTTTAATAAAATGGCAAGGGAAGTATTGCCGGAATGACACCAGGCTTCCCTTTTTCTAGCGTGAATACTTCCAGTCTGAACCAAGGGTTTTATTTTTTTTCTTTCCTCCTAAATGTCCCTTATATTTTCCTCTTTATTTTCTTATTTCCCAATATTGCCATTTTCTGAGTTCTAAAGGCCCTCCCTAATAAACTTGGAGTTTATTATCAAGATTGCATCTCTCAAAGAAAACATGTTTGTGTTCATAAAATCTCTCACCATATGTTAGGCTAACGCTTGTATTTATTTCCTATAGGTGGAAGCTCCGTATCTACTCTACCACTACCTATGGCAGTACTTCTAAGTCTCACCATCACTTACAAACTCGGTAGAGAGACCGACCGGTTTCTCACCTTTGTGGCCTTAACTTTGCGTAAGCTGGCCCCCCTATGTCCATGGCCATGCATGCCCATCATAGTCTCCCTCTGGACCCAGAAACTAAAACAGTGGAATGACGCTTTTACCATCTTTGCATGTTGTACTATATTCCACCACAATAGTGATGCCCTTGTCCAACTCCTAAGAGCCTGCTTCAAAGCCACCCTCGGCCTAAACAACTCCATCACGGCAAGCAGCGGTGGTGTCGGCACGCTTCTCGGTCACGAACCCGCCTCTTATACTGCTAGCACTATAGGTCATATTGCCCCCGGAATAATGTACACGCGTGTCCATAGATCCGTCGGGGACACCTTGTTTATGACGGAGGAGATTATGTCCCTTGTGATGAGTTCGGTTGAAGACATTGCAAACAATGGATTACCGGCTGAGGACCTTGAGAAGCTCAAGAAAATGAAATATGGGTTGAGATATGGTCAGGTCTCACATGCGGCATCTATGACCCGGCTCAAGGTAGCGGCTTCACTAGGGGCGTCTTTGATTTGGATAACCGGCGGTTTGAGTTTAGTTCAATCTCTGGTTAATGAAACCTTGCCCTCGTGGTTTATATCCATACAAAAACCGAAACCCCAAACCGGAGTCGAAATGTTGAGGGGATATGCACTTGCGTACTTCACGGTGCTTTGCTTAGCATTTGCGATGGGGGTGGAGCCGGTGATTGTTCTTGGTTCTAGGCGATCCAAGGTTCTTGCAAAGCACATGGACTTTCTTGGAAGCGTATTGGATAGGAAGATATCCCTGGGGTGTAATGAAGCCTTGTGGAGATCGTATCTATCCGGGTTTGTTAGTATGATCGTGGTTTCCACACCAAACTGGGTGAGGGAGGTTGATGTTGGGGTGGTGAAGAAGCTGAGCAAGGGGTTGAAGCAGTGGCATGAGGAGGAGTTGGCTGTGGCTCTTCTTGGAGTTAGCGGGGTGGAAGGGATGGGCGAGGCTGCTGAAATGATTATAGACAATGGCGTTTGAAGTTTTCTTAGTTGAAGGAAGGATTCAAGTTATACATAGGCTAGTTACAACCATATCTTGGCGCTGATCATAGGCATCTGATATTTTGCATTTGACTTGAGTTGTTTTAGGGGTTTTGTTCTACTACCAAGGATTATTATGGCCATGTTTTGGCGCTGATTATATGCATTTGACATTTTGCATTTGTCTTGAGTTGTTAGGGGTTTTGTACTACGACCGAGGGTTATTACCACCGTGTTTTGGCGCTGATTATATGTAGACTCATTAGATTTTAGTGGTGTCTATGCATTTGATTGTCATCGTTCGATGCACAAGATGTAGCCTTGATGGGAGAAGGCAGAGAGAGGCAAGTCCTTTATTGTTGGTTGTGGATTAGCCATGAATTGAGGAAGCAGATTGCAAGCACCTTTGGCCTTTGGGACTAAAAAGACAAAACATAAGGATCTAAGCTCCTGAATGGATTAGCAAGGGCCATTTCAGCATGGAATGTTGATTTACTAGTTAACTTGAGACAAAATGGAAGTTTGCATGTTTAATCTGCACTCAAGTGGTTTGTTTGTGGATCCTCTTACAGAAATTGGTTTTCTTAGCTTTTTAATACTAGTGTTAATTAATTTCTAAAAGAAAAGTAGCTAATATATTTATGTAGGAGTAAATGAGCTTATATTTACCCAAATAGGATTAAAAGAAGGGTTCATCTATGGTGCATCTTAAAATTTCAAGGTCCTGCAAATGAAGCTTTCAAATAACTGAAATTATCCTCAAATCTCACTTTCAGTTACACATCATTCTTCTTTACTTAAATGTTCTGGGTTTTTTTGCTTCCAAACGGTTGTTAAAACTTAAAAACGACATCAACATGATAGTACTCATGGACTCGGGTCGCCCGTTCCGGACCGGTACTGTTTGGGCCCGGCCCGGTACCCGGTCATAGGACCGGGCGGACCACCCGAACCGGGAGTTAAACGGGGCGAGCTCGGGCCTCCTAAAAGTGGAACTGGCCTAGCCTATTTCTTTTTTTTTTCAATTTTTTTGGTTTCTCCCGGGTTGGTCTGGTTGTTTTGGGGGGGTTGGGGTGGGGTGGGGGGGGGGTCAGGGGTTAATTAGAAAAGCAAAAGAAAATTAAAAAAAAAATAACATGAACCGGCCCGGAACCGCTGCCTACCCGGGCCGGTTCCGATTCTTCCTTCCAAAAAAAAAGCCCGGCCAGGTCCAGGCCCAAACCGGAACCGGCCCGGCCCGGGGCCATGACTACATGATAGTCTATATTTTGTAAACGCATGTGTATGTGACGAGTCACAGTTCATGATTCCATCCTCAATTAAATTTGAGTCACTAAACATCTCAAACCATCCTATACTAGTGTATAGCTCCATATTGGAGTCACTATTCAGCAACCCTTCACTCAAAACCAGGGGCGGAGCCGGGGGTCAGGGTGGTAAGCCGACCCCGCTGAAAGTTCGAAATTATAGAGCTATGAAATATCTTCGATTTGATATATTATGGCCCCCGTAACTCATTATGAGTAAAAAGTTATGACTTCTGGAAAATCAGCACTATCTAAACGTAAAATCAGCAAAATTTGATGCATAGTATAGATTGTTTTCCCAATTTTTTCTTAAAAAATGTATAATTTACTCAATACTTACGTGACACAACTCAGAAACAGAGCAAAGACAAATTATCTTATTGCTACGAGTGCCTATTTATCTAAACTGCATATGATTTATTCAACTCAGACATTGTTTAACAACGACCCAACATTTTCATTCTGTATGTAGGTTAAGTTTCAACCTCTGAGCCATTTTTGTGGCTCTGCCACTACTCAAAACCAGTCACCATGCAACACAATACCCTATAGTATTCTTTGCTAATAGAGTCACTAAAATCTCCGTTCAAGTCTAATTCTGTGAGACTGTGACTATCCATCAAACCTTATACCACTGTCTACAAACATATTACAGAAGTCACTAAAATTATAAAAACACATCTACTTTCCAATGTAATCAAGTCACTATTCAACCCTCCATCTCATAATACTCTTTGCAATCATAATAGTCTAAAAGGCACTATTGTGCTAGTCTGACGCCAGCCCAGCATCTAGCGCCTAGACGTGGAGTCGGGGACTAGTCGGAGACATAAAAATTATAATTTTATCAAAGCTTTTTCATAAAATATGATTAGTAATGTTGTGTTTGTGTGTATATAAAAAATAGATACACACATACACACTAACATGCATGAAATTAAAGATATAGTTGTCACATTTAATAATATATTATATTTACACGTTTAACTTCATTATGTAATAAATATTACTAGTACTCTGTATTAAATAGTACTTAATAACATTTAAGATTATTTACAAACATGTATATTTTTTATTTTAATTTAAAACTAGTAGCTTTCTTGATATGTAAGCTAAGGAGTAAGGACCATTTAAGCATGGAATGTGGATTTATGATGTTTTCTTTCGGACTGAAATTTATGGGTCTGGTCTGTTAAACGTTTGATCTCTGCGTATTTTATAATTATGGAAGTCCGATCTGATCTGGTCTGATTTGGTCTGGTCTGGGACTGAAAACGGTTCAAAAGAAAGCATCCTTTATGGTTTACTAGAGACAAAATGGAAGTTTTGCATGCTTTATCTGCACCGAAATGGTTTACTTGGGGATCCTTTAATTTGGTACAAGCTGTGAAACAGGAGTAAAATACGATAATATTTGAGTACTCCGTATTTTTTTAGTACAAGTAGTGTTAAACTGTTAATTTAGTCTTAATTTAAAAGTAGCTTATATACTACGTATTTATTTAGGAGTAAATGAGCCTTAATTAGGAAAAAACAATGGTGATCTCTTTCAGGTATTAGTCATTTTCACAAAGTATGAAGACTAACTTGATTGTATTATAATAGGATTTTTAATGACAAAAACAATTATAGTGTGTTAATAAGGTACAACTGCGGAGTAGCTCAAAGAGTGAAAATTTCTATTGATATCCAGCTAAGAAGTTGGTCTAAAAGGAGTAAATATAGTGTGATTTTCCTAGATAGGACAACTATTCTTTTTCAAAATACCAGTAAATATTATCATCGATCACAAGATTGTCATATACTCCATAATATGACTTCACCATAAGATTGTCATAGTACTACGTATCATCATGACATCAATTTTCCATAATATGACATTATGCTTTCATGATGTCACAATTTCACCTTTATTAAAAAAGAAGTTAATTTAAATATATAGGAGAAAAACATTTATGAATTCGAAAATAGAGTTAATATATTTTTATTCTAAATAAGAGTAACTACTGGCATGTTTTAATATCATCATACATTAAATATGCATTATTTTCCAACCTTAACAGTAATTACTTCTATTTAGAGTGAAAAGATATACTATTCTTTTTCAAAAAAAGTACTCCTTATTTTGAAAATTTGAAATATTTTTACTCCTATTTCGAAAAATTTTCCTTAAAAAGTATTTTCTCATAATAGAAAAATTAATTTATTTTTAATCCTATTTTGAAACATCTCTATCCAATTTCATTTGGATAGTTAATAGAAATCCATATGATGTTTATTTCATGTGATCCAGAAAAAGCAGCCCTCAAGGCTTTGCAAAGTGGGCATCTTAGATAAATGGATTCTTATTCCACTTACCTTTTGTCTCAAGGCTTTGCATATTATCATGTTGACATGAAAGCAACTCCACCTTCATCTTTTTCTGATTCTTCTTCTCGCCCAATGCTCCCATGAAAAGCACTCTCAATACAAGGCCTGCATTATACTAAGCGCGTATTAAATAATCCTCACATATATATTACGAGTACTAAAGCTCTGTTTGCAAACCCAACTAGGAAGTGCTTTTAACTTTTTTAAATGATTTGGTAAAAATGTGATTAATAGTAAAAGTTGGTAGTGTTTGAGAAAAAAGTGATTTTTAAAAGTAAAAGTTGGTGGTGTTTGGTAAAATAAGTATTTTTTGTGTAATAGAAAAAGTAAAAAAGCATATTCTAGCTTTTAGCTTTTAAGTAATTCATTTAAGTAGAAGTTGTCATTTGAAAACATCTTTTTTAGCTTTTTTAAGTCAAAAGTTGAGAAGTGTTTTTTTAGTTGTGTTTGCAAACAGAGCCTAAGTTACTTCTCCTTATAATGAAGCTTTAATTTTGCCACCTTTATTATCACTAAAAGCTAGGATGCTCTTTCCCAAAAATCAAAACTTTGCTATAGTGGAGTCATTGGCCGGCTGTGATACATGTTTTTTTTCAAGATAAATGTTTTTTTTTTTCAGAAAGACAAAACGAAAAGATACATACTTTATAGCGCCGCATCTAACCAAGAATAACCATTTTAGAAGTTGGACCTTTCAAGACTTTCAACCGCATGTAAGACCATAACGTCCAAAGTTTTCTTTGTTGCAGAAATGTGTTAAAATTGCAATTAAATGATCATTTTGGGGCTATATTTTGAGTGGATCCACTTCTGATTTGGGTCGAGTCAAAAGGGTTTCTGATTTTTCTTGCTAAGGGCTACAACTAGATATATGGTACACTCAAAACGGATAACAGGTGAATGAGAAATGGAGATAACTAGGAAAAGATGAGTTTCTAGTGTGGTTTTTTTCCCACACCGAAAAACCCAAGGAATTTTCAACTCTATATAAAGGGAACCCCCTCTCTAGAGAGTTAAGATTCCTAAGGGGAAGGCTCTCTTCGCGCGCAGGGGGGTGCGAATCAAATCCCGAAAACGGAGAAGAAAAATTGCGACTTGCGTGCGATGGCGACCTGCGAACACGAATGCCGTCCGAAAATTTATCTTCTAAAGATAAGATGAAATTTTGTTTCTTCCCGTTACATTCCTATTTTTTCAGTAAATGCTCAACGTTCATATGTCTTAATGGAGCCCGAAATGGACAGTTTTCCTGGACGAATCAATGCAAACGTGCTGGACATTGATGTCCAAAGTTCACACCATTAAGTTGCCATTAACACACCCAAATTCTTCCCCTATAATTTGGCTAGCAGGTGGTTTACAAAAAACATAGTTCATACGAATGTCGTCTGAAAATCTATCTTCTAAAGATGAGATGAAATTTTGTTTCTTCTCTTACATTCCTATTTTTCCAGTAAATGTCCAACGTTCATATGTCTTAATGCAGCTTGAAATGGACAGTTTTCCTGGACGAATCAGTGCCAACGTGCTGGACATTGATGTCCAACGTTCACACCATTAAACTGTCATTAACACACCCAAATACTTCCCCTATAAATTGGCTAGCAGGTGGTTTACAAAAAACACAGTTCATAGTTCATACACCATATGTATGTTTCTGCACCTCGAAAAACACCTCTAGCATTCTGAAAACATTCATCTGTGTTCTTGCTTGTTCACGTTCGCCGGAACAATTCGTTTGAGTGCTGAACGATTGTTCGCGTAGTCATCGTATCATGGGAAACGATCGTTGCAATGCTCTTAGCACCTAGGGAGGCAATGAATACGTTTTAAGGATATCGTGCATAGCATGAGCTTTGGCTAAATTCTGCTCCATCTTTTTCTGTTTTTCTTTAGTCATTTTATTTAATTAATTTTTTATTAATTAATTTTCTTTGTTTTTTGAAACACACCCAACAAGCTTAAAACGTATTCAGTGATTGTTGTACTGCGGTAAAAAAATCCTAAACTATAATTTGTCACTTTTGTGAACGAACTTATTTTTGTGTTTTCGGAAAAAACGTAAGAAAGTGAAAAATGATTTCTCAAGAAATTCGGAACGTTGTTGGGCAGAATGTGCCAATGAACGACATACAATCTGAAAGCGGAGTTCCGATGAACAATAGTTCACAACGCAGAACATCTGCTTTAAACCAAAGGATAATCCCTATGATTACTGTGCCGCGCAACTCTGTGGAGAAACCTGAAAAAATCAATGGGTTGAACTTCAAGAGATGGTAGCAAAAGATGCTTTTTATCTCACTACTCTCGGCTTGGCAAGGTTCTTGAC